ATTTACTTCAATGGTCACATGCTTAAAATTACACCCAGTCAGGGGCTATCATCATATTAATTTGCTAACATTTGTTCCTTTAATCCAGTCAGAGAGTTACTGCTACCAGACCATCACAGAGATAGACTGGGGAGCAAATCTCATAAAATAAGTCAAAGCCATTCCCTATCAGTAGAAAAAATTCTATTACTCTCTTATTGCTAGTCTAGCTCCTGACAGCAGTGTGGTCAAGATCTAGTATGTGTCTCCATTGCAAAGTCCTTTGCTCATTGCTATACTCATGTTCTTCCCTTAGCTCCACAGCCTGTTCTTCAGCTTCGGGTAAAGCATACCAATGAATCTTCACTTAGTGTCATGTGGGTGACCCCCGTCGCCGAATGGGACAAATACACAGTTTCAGTGGAAGACAGGGGTCTTACCATCATAAATAAGGCTCTTGTGAAAGAAGCTAAAGAATACACTTTCAGTAACCTGGTACCTGGACGGAAATACACGGCTAAGGTCACCAGCATTAGTGGGGATTTAAACAATTCAACTTCAGTGGAAGGAAGAACAGGTAATACATTATCAATCTACTTCTGATAACCAGCTATAATGACTTGTTACTTTCTTTGTACTGAATTATATTAAAACAGAGAGTCCCAATAGCAATACCCTTGAATTTGTGTACATTTTCTTAATATGAATGCTACATTTCTATTCAGAGCCTTCCTTATTCACACGCAGAATATACATTTGTGTAGGGCACCCGAAAATTTGGGGCACCATTGGGGCACCGTTTCACAAGGCATAAAGGATCTGACGACAAAGGGTTCTGGAGTCGGCAGATCCCCGTCTAGACTGCCGCGCTGTGCCAACAAACAGCTGATCGGCACAGCACAGCAGCCATTTTGATTTAAACTAAGCTGTAATTATTTAAATTGCCGTTTCATTTCCCTTTGTCGTCCTGCCTCATCTACATGGCTCTGTCGGCGGAACCATGTAGTTTAGACACACCCTTAGTCTATAAGGTACACAATGGAGGTGACCTTCAAAACCTATTTTGGACCCTGCTACTTTTTTAATTTAAAAAACCTTCCATTTTTTTCCTCAGAATGAAGACTTCCACACAAGCAAAATTGAAGTGACTGTTGGGTGATGCTTTTGTAAAAACTATAAAGTGCTACTTTTTTCAGCTTTTTTATGAGTTTAAATTGGACCCATTTCCTTACTATCCTACCCAGTGCATTCTTGTGAGAAAACAAGGCCTCACAAGAACGCACTACACTGGTCAGGTCCCGAGGGTGCTAGACAAGGGAGGTCCAACTTGTACAAATTTTGTATCCATACTGAGCTCTACAAATGATTTTGACTGCTGCTGCATGTTGAGTGGATGTTTTCAGAGAACTGTCTACAATGATCAGCTGTGCGGCCTCTGTCCCTTTGAAACTGCTGCCTCCGCGGGATTCAGAGGGGAGGCAGGGAAGCCCGGCGTAAGCTGAGGACTCCCCAGCTGAGCCCGGGCTCCCTGCAAACCCAGTATCAGCTGGGAAGTCCCCAAATAACCCCGGGCTCAACAGCAGCTGCCCCTTTGAATCCCCGCAGAGGCGGTGTTTTAAAGGAGCAGCTCGCCACACAGCTGATCCCAGGATCAGATGTGCAACTGCTGCCTTGGGGTTTCAAAGTGGCAGTGCTGCTGTGTGGCACTGCCACTTCTCCCCTGCCCCTTTGCTGCCTCTATTTCATACAGGCAGTAAGGGGGGCGGGGGAACTGACTACTTGACATTACTACTTACTTGATAAGCAAATGCTTGTCAGATAGTCAACTAGTCTCTAACATCCTTAGTCTGAACTCACGATTTTGGTTCAGACCACTGTATAATCTGATCTAATCTCATTAGTTTTATCAATATGCCTGATGTTAACTAGTCATATTTATGATGACCAACACCATTTATTTAGGCTCTGAGATAGATATAAAGCAAAATGTGTAGTTTGGGTCTGAGTTTTCCAAAGTTAAAAGGTTTTTTAGAATGTGGAAGATTGAATCTGTTTGAACACTAATGTGAAAACATTAAAAAATTAAGCAACTGTATTTCCTTACTTTAATCAAACTTTTTCAAAT